GGGTCAAGGATGATGGAATCAGAATCTGAAATGCTACAGCACACAAAAATTATCTGGGACAGTGGAAAATGAAACACAGATGCAAGCAGTAGATAATCTCTAAAACAAAGGCGCAGGAAAAAATTTGGAGAAAATGAATACCAACTTATAAAGTATATGGCTTTCACATGAGAACCAGAACATCAAATGAAAATTTAATAAACCTAACAAGCTCCAACTTATCACTGCCCCTATTTTTCTTGATAAGTAATAGCCAGCAAGGGAGCGGTAAAAAAAAACAGCAGCATTCACAACATAAACAACTAATGCCTTAAGCAACATCCAGCTAATGCCTTAAGCATCAACACCAGCTGTGTAATCAGATTCAGATTCAGAGTACATATGAGACAACTTCAAATCTGTCAACTAATACCTTACAATGCAACAATTATTCCAGTAAGGTTTAAAAGTAGAGCAGTATACCATGATTTCTACAAGATGCACAACATTTACTCCTTATATAGTCACTGTGAAAAAAGCTTGCAAAGTTGATATAATCTTTTCTCCATTATCTTTCTGTTTCTCCTGCATTGAAAACATTACACAATTAAGAACCAATTAATAAGCTACAGGCAAAACTATCTAGTAATCATAAAAACCAATACTTTTCTCACCTTCTATGAGTGATCATGTAAATATTGCATCACTTTTTGAACAAGTTCCCTGTCACAAGCCATTCGAGTCGGGAGCTGTCCATCTCTTGCTAATTTATCTTTTCCCAAATGAGGTATTTTATAACCATTGCTTCCAAAAACTTTCATGACTTCCACCATACATTGTTGCAAGGTCAAGAAAATATGATTTAGACTCTTGTAATGCAAGTCATTGAAGGATTTCTCCACCGCTAAAAGCAATTCGTCAATTGTTCTCGGTGCTTCTTGGTGTTGTAGCACTTGGATGGCTTCGAAATAACCAAGATCGAGAACATTAAGATCAGGGCTATTTGGGGGCTGATACATTAAACGAATATCAATACCCGATGTCCTAACTGCTTCAATAAACTCCACATCGGTTGGGGCAATGTGTGGCTTGGCATTATCTTACTGAATGAAGATAGGACCAGGTAATCCTCTTGGCCATTTGGCACATATAGCTGGCAAAACTTTGTCGATCAAGCATCTACGATAAACCTCTCTATTGACAGGACACATCGGCTTTGTTTCCAAAGTTCCAGCTGGCCGATTCTTACTGTTTCTCTTAGCTGGAACTTTCTCTACGAATGGAAATATTCCAATTTTTCCATCAAACACACAATTACCCCGCCAATCAAAGTGAGGCCTACACACAACAGCCAGGAACATCACTTTCTGAATAAACTTTTTATTCTTACAAAATCTATCAGGCGGAGGTTCAGTCGGATGCAAATAAAATCTCTTAGACCCCTCGGTCAAATAGAACCATTTTTCATCAAGATGAAAGATGTAAAACATCTCCTTAAATATAGGAAAACTACTCAGTGTATACTCTTCAAGCATTGACAAACAAAACTGAAGCCTCTTTATCTTATTATCTTCGGTGAGAAATGGTTTAATTGCATTAGAGAGAACAATAATCTGACCTGCTTTGATCTGCCGGTGGAGTGTCGACCGAGCTATTTCCATTTGATTGGCAAGTGACCGGATGTTACTCCTACGTCTTAGAGGAACCTTCTTAATCTCTTCAAAATCTATATCTAGCGCACCCTTGCCAGCCCGTTTTGACCTACGCCAACTTCAATCATTCCTCCATTAGCTAAGCATTGTTTTGCACGCGCCCAAATCCTTCGTACAGTCCGGTCAGTTACACCAAAATAACCAGCAATCCACACAAAAGTTCCATGCCGTGGTTTTCCTTTCTAGAACTCAATCTCAAGCATCCCCAAAATCTGATTCCTCTCTGCATCTGTGAGCTTCCTCTTAATGTCATCTTCTTCTTGAAAATATAATTCATAGGGATCAGAATAAGTAGTTTCATATGATTCAGAGTTGTAATCCGATACCTCAGAAGTAACTCCGTCAAAGTCTGAATCGAAATCGCCATCAATCGATTCAAAGGATATTCCAGGCGAGATATCAAAATCATACGGAGGAACATCAAATTGAAGCTCAGAATAAGAACTTCCTCCAAACCAGCTTGAATTGATCTGAAAATTCCGTTCATCGGGAACAAATGATGACTTCACTTTTGAAGAACTCCCAGCGTTTGATACCGGTAAGGAACGCTCCGGTGAAATTGAGCAATTGTCTTCATAAACTCCAAATTGAAAGTTAGAATATGAAGATTCACCGAATTCGAGATTCTTCATTGAAAAATTTGGTTCGATTGGCACGACCGAATGCCTCACGGTTGAAGAGCTCTGTGCAATCCATACCGGCGTCGAATTATCCAGTGGGGAAGAATTGCATCCATAAACATCAAACTGAACCTTAGCGTATGAAGATTCGAAATTATTCATCTGAAAATTTGAAAAATCTTGATTCAATCATGAAGAACAGATGAAGGAGTTCTGTTGTTTAAAAAAATTGAATGGGGATCGATTTTTGAATATTGGTAAAGGAGTTCTATTTGTTTAACACTCATATTCTTTGCCAGTCAAGTGATTAAGGAGGTAGGGGCAAATTCGGTAGTTTAAGATAAAATGTAATTAAGTTTGACCAAAAATAAAATTTATCAACTTAGCTAAAATGGACAATAATTATGGGACGGAGGGAGTTTTTCATCTGCTAAACTCCATTTTGGATGTGATTTGGAAATGCAATGATCATTAGATTCTAACTATTTTAATTGTGCTTCTTTGCAAGTTTTAAGCAACACCTAATTAATCATAAATTGATTCTTTCAACATTCTGAGCTTATAAATTCTGATTCCTAGATAATTAGAGCTCGCCATTGTCCTATGTTTCCTAGCTCATCTCTCGTATAAATGGCGCCAAATTGCCCAAGTGTAAATTAATTTTTCAAGTATTTTGAAGTAACTTAGTCTTTGGAGACAAAATGTACAATCACATACCTTACGATTTACGAGTATAATTGAGTACTGTTTTGTATAAACAGATGACAAGGTGTTTCTCCTACACGTGCGTTTGTGTTACAACTAACTACGGGCAATGAGCTTTTCGCATAGCATTACTTGAACTTTTACTCAATCTTAGGAGCAGCAACTGGCCTGACAAGTGACAATCCTCGCTACGTCAAGGTAAATACTACAATTACTCTACGGAAGGATATAGATAGGTAAATTTACTCATTCAATATACGGAAGGATATAACTATAGAGTAGATGTGTTAAATCTAGTAAGAATCTACGAGTCTTTAGCTCAAACATTTGGTGCTCCAAAATAATGTAAAATATGAATTTTTTGATCGAGACAGGCGTAGAAATAAAAAATCTTTATTACATCAGAAGGCACAGAGTTCGTATCTGTCAAATAACAATGCTAACTTTAGATAATCAAACTATGACCTTAGCTAGCAAGTTTGGTTTTGAACATAAAAAAGCATCATGATAAGTAGCTACCGTGTGTTTGTCGTGCCTATCAACTGAAAAAAGAAAACAACGGTATCATTTCCTGTGATTATACAGAGCGGGTGAAGTGAGAACTCAAATATCAACAGAACCAACGGTCGCAAACCAAATGAACCAAACTGAAAATGCAATACTTGACACCTAATAAGAACTAGACCTAATCCCATCCAATGATCCCACCAAAGATTAGGTTATTTTCCCTTCCAATTGTACAGTCTTTATTTAAGAACTGAATTCAGCTTCAACCTAAATGGAAACTCGACAAATTCATATATGTAAGAATCAATGAGTTAAATCTACCAAATTCATATAACAAAATCCAAATGGATTGCCAACAAACTTTTTACAAATAAAAACTCCAGGATTTTACTATGGGAAAATGAGTAAGGATTAGACTAGAATTCTTTACGGGTGGTCATCACATAAAAAAGTGAATGTCCTAGTCATTCACTGTTTTGCTATGGTTGCAGAACATTCCCCCCCTTACCCTCCAGACAGCTTCACCTATATACGAAGCACTAAGAACTAATCGATGTTATATCTCTCTAATCTAGTGTGCCCTGTGAAACCAAAGTCAAATGCTAGGCAACAATGAAATATCATTGCCACTTGACTCGTCGTGTTTTTTTTTTTTTTTTTTTGTTTGTTGCAGGGTGTCCATCGGCAACAGTGACTAATTCCCCTTGCTGAATTGTAGGCACTTCGACGGGCGGGACAGTTGACCAAAGTATTTAAGGTTGTTCCATGCCCATGGCGAGGTTCGAACCCTCGAGCTATGGTTAAGGGTGGAGGAGTCCCTTCCACTCCAACCACGACCACTTTGGTGGACTCGTTGGTTTCTTTGCACCATGTAAGTTGATTGTTGCAACCAAAAAATGCAAAAGCTATTTCAAGCCGAAAAGATAAATTTAGAAAAGCTAAATGACATATAGGAGGCAATGGACAACACATAACCGACAATTAAAGGGGAAAGCAAATAGAGCGCGATACAACTCACCAACACGAAAAGATACACCAATGTTTGTAATAATACACACTCATGTTCACTTGAAACACCATGGGCATATTAAGATAAGTGATATGTCTCATACAGTATAGCATATTCTCATTATAAAACTAAAGCAAGGAATATTACTCAAACAATCAATGTACAAAAAACCAGGACCAGAGTCTCTCGGATTCTCTTCATTGAAGACTTAAATAGACCACTCATGTTCACTTGAAACACCATAGGCATATTAAGACAAGTGATGTGTCTCATACAGTATAGCATACTCTCATCATAAAACTAAAAGCAAGGAATTTTACTCGAACAATCAATGTACAAAAAACCAGAACCAGAGTCTCTCGGATTCCCTTCATTGAAGACTTACATAGACCATTCTGTACAGCTCAGTCTTGTGGAAAGAAACAAGACACTAAACTCAGAACTTCACCATGCAACTCTCTTCCTTGATGGCTCAAATTTCCAGACACGCCTAACCAAAGAAACATGTCAAAACGATATTCACAACTTCCACTTTACAAAGCTGATTTTATGATAAAAATACAGAGTATCCATGTCTACATGAGAGAAAGACAAAATTCCAGAAGAGACGCACAAGTAAATGTCAAGTAAGCTCATCCTCGAGGGCGGTCATTAGGTATAATTTGATGTCTATATAAATTACAGCAAATGCAATATAGAGGGAACAATGCAAGAGCCGAAATCATGAAGCCTAACTCACAATTTCACAAACAGTTTAGGCAAACCAACCAGAAAGAAACAATTTACACCAAGAATCCCAATCCCACAAACATATCACTATCATAGAGATATTCAAATAACGAAAAGCCCTAATAATTGTAAGAACTTAAAATGGCAGAAAACTATACCATCGAGTAAACAGGCAGAAAAGGTTCCGATCTTCCATAACCTCAGGGGCAGCTCAACATAAGAAATGGGTGAAAGTTCACTTGCAACTGTCGGAATATCTCCTCAATCAGTGCACATTTCCGAAAATCAACTCATCAGTACCAGAAACACTAATACCGGCCTCCTTGACCGTCCGGAATATCGGGTTCACCATTTTCTGCTGATGAATAGGCCTAGAAAGTTCTTCCTTCAAATCGATTTCTACGTTTTCAACCCCAATTTCTTTCAGCCGTACGCCGAGCTTTTCCCCGACTCTGGAAGCCATTCTGAGGTCGACATAGTTATGATGCCTTGGGACCTGATTCCGCTTGGCTTTCAATTGTGGGATGAATTCGGGTTCAGTGGTTGAAGCCATGGCGATGATGGAATCGGTAATAGGATTCGTCACTTGAGCTGTGATTTTTCGGCAAGACAGAATCACTCGTAATAGGGGGAGCCGCTGGGCTGCGCCGCCCATTTTGTGGGAACTCCGATGGGGTTGAGTTGAGATAAGGAGCGTGACTTTAAAGGAAACTGTAAAATATGAAGCACTATGTAATTTCTTTCACATTACTTTACCTTCTATTGGATTATTTTTAACCATTTAGTTTGTTTTCTAGGCGTTTAGGTTATGGTAATGCCATTTTTATCCTTGATGCCATTATTTTTTACTTTCTATTGACTCTTTTTTATTTTTTTTTCTTTTTTTTAGGAGGAAATAAAATTTCAATTAAATTGTGGGAAAGTGCCCACTGCGTCATTGCCCAACACGCATTGAGAAATAAAGTCAAGAATTGAATTCTAATACTCCTTAAATCTTTCTCAATTTGTACATATTGAGTTGAATCATATGTAAATACATTAAATCGATGATTAACCGAAAAATTACACGTGACTAAAGGTGCGAAATGAATTTTGGCAATGTTAGTGTACATATATTAGGGTTAGATCAGGGCATTGTTGTAATCTCATTGTAACCCTAAACACTATATATATGTTTGTCAATACAATGCAATATATGGGTTCTTGACTTCTACATGGTATCACCGCCGCCTGGGCCGTTCTTCTCTTTCACCGCTGCCGCTACTTCTCGACTATCTCTCCCTCTTTGCTTCGGCTCTTGTTTATGCTCTTGTTTCGGCTTGGACGCTGCTATCATTGTGTGTTGTTGATGCGTTGCTGCTTCTTCCTCGACTTCACTGGCTTTGTGTGGGCCGTTACTTCTTCTTCTTTGACTTCGATTTGGACTTGGTGTGCTGCCTGCTTAATTTGTGTGCCGTCCGCTTGCTTGTTGCGCCGCCGTTTTGTTCCTTCAATACAGTTCATTTGGTTATCAAGTGATGACTAATCCAGAAGACTCTGTTGTGTCCGCCATTTCCTTCCCTCACACTGCTGCATCTCATGAGACGATTCTTGCCTCCTCTTCTTCCCCTTCCACTCGTCACCCTACTCTCTCTCTAAACAACATTAAGAATCACGTTTATGAAGTTCTGAACTACACCAACTACTTGATCTGGCGTGAACTCTTCATTCAGTCCTCAAGGGCCATCAGGTTTATGGCCATGTCGATGGTTCGACTCTTTCTCCCCTTGCAACTGATCCGGACTATGCTCTTTGGCATCAAATTGATGCTCTTGTTCTCTCTTGGATACAAGCCACTCTTTCTTGTGAAATCTTACGAAGTATTGTCACTCCGGGGACCTCTCTCACTGCCTCTGATGCTTGGCAGAAAATTGAGAAACTCTTCCGTGACCATGTGGAGTCTCGGATTGTTCACCTTCGCCAGGAGTTATACCATTTAGAGAAGGGTGATCTCTCCATGGCTGCCTTCTTGGATCGTTTGAAGGAACTTTATGATTGCTTACTGTCTATTGGTGATTCAATCACTTTTCGGGATGTCGTTATGCAAGTTGTAATGGGTTTGGGTCCTGAATATAGGCTGCAACCTCCCAGATTTCTGCTAAAAAACCATTGCCGACCTTTGATGAGTGTCAATCTTGGCTTCTTATTGAAGAAGCTAAACTATTGAAACAACAGCATAAAGCGGTCGCAACATCATCTTCCACTTCTGTCTTTGTCGCGCAGCAAGTTCCATCTTCTTCGCCTGCGCCTGCTTTTTTGTCTATGCAGCCAGTTTCGGCTATTTCTCATGCTGCCTATGCAGCTTCTGCTTTTCAGTCCCCTTCCAATGGTGGTCGACGCAGTGGTGGAGGTCGACGTGGAAGAGGTCACCGGGGTGGTGGTCGTGGCAGTTGGCAACCACAATATTTTTGACCGTCAGCTCTTTCCTCTTCTATTTTGGATGCACCGCCTTCTCCAGTTTATCAGGCGCCTAGACCTTCTCAATATCAGCACTCGGTTCAGTGCTATAATTGCCGCGGCTATGGTCATGTTGCTCGTATTTGTCCTTCTGTTCTTATGGGCTCAACTTCAACAACCCTAGCTTCAATCAATATCCGGCCTTCTCTCCAAGCCCTAATCCTTGGTATTTTGATTCAGCTGCGGGTGCTACTATGACCAATGACTCTGGTAAGCTCACTGGTTTATCTTCTTATAATGGTCCTAATAAAGTGTGTGTTGGTAATGGTGCTTTGCTACCGATTAAATCCCTTGGTTCCTCAACTATTTCTACTTCTAGTCGTTCTTTGTTTCTTAATAATGCACTTTATGTTCCATCTCTTACACAAAACTTAATCTCTGTTTGTAAGTTTACTACTGATAATAACTGTTCTGTTGAATTTCATCTTGGTTTGTCTGTTAAGGATCTCCCCACGAAGACAAGACTTCTTCGGTGCAATAGTACTGGACCTCTCGCCCTCTCACCCCTTGCACCTCCTCAGCTTCGGTCCTGGCTCTCGTTGCTACTCGTACCTCTTCATTCACTTGGCATCATCATTTAGGTCATCTTGGTCATCGTGTTTTGGCCAACTTAATAATTGCTTATGCTATTTCTTGTTCTCGACCTACTTTAGATTTTTGTCATGCTTGTCAATTAGGAAAACATGTGCGTTTACCTTTTGAGTCGTCTTTCTCACAGGCTACTTCGCCTTTTGAACTTATTCATTCTGATGTATGGTTATCTTCGTTATTTCCCCTAGTGGTTATAATTTATAAATATTTTGTGACCTTTTGGATGATTATACACATTATTGTTGGAGATTTCCTCTTCGCTCTAAGGCTGATGTTTTCTCTTGCTTTTGTACTTTTTTTGCTTACGTTCAAACACAATTCAATGCTATTATTGGCACTTTCCAATGTGATCATGGTGGGGAGTATGAAAATCATTCTTTTCGGGAATTCTTTCGAACCCATGGCATTCACCTTCGCCTATCTACTACTTCTTCCTCTCAACAAAATGGTAAGACAGAACGCCTTAATCTTACCATTGTCAACATGATTCGTACTCTTTTATTCCAGGCTTCCATGCCTCCGTCCTTTTGGGTTGAAGCTCTTAATACTTATACATATCTTTTAAATCGTCTTCCCACTCCTCTTCTACAAAACAAGACCCCTTATGAGGCTCTTCATCACAAGCTACCCTTTTATGATCACCTACGCACCTTTGGTTGTGTATGCTACCCCAATCTTTCTTACACCGTCCGTCATAAGTTAGAACCTTATTCCAATCTCTATGTTTTTCTTGGTTACCCTTTGAATCATAAAGGCTACCGTTGCCTTGATCTCACTACTAATAAGACCATTATTTCTCGTCATGTAGTTTTTGATGAGAATACTTTTCCATTTGCTTCTTTTCACTCTCCTAGTCCTTCCTCGCATAATCCCTTTCGTCCACCTTTGTCATCGATTCCTCTTGCTCTTTCTCATGCTAATGTTTTCCTTCCCTCAACATGCATATCCTCTCCATCTACTACTCTTCCTTCGCCTCCATCTTCTGTTAGTACTCTACCTACAACTCCTTCGAAATTATCATCTACTTCATCGGCTTCTGAGTCGTCCTCCGCATCTGCTTCCCCTATCTCATCACCTCCTTTAAGTATTCCTTCCAATCCTCCTCTTCATCCTATGGGCACTCGTGCCCAAGATGGCACTCTTAAACCCAAGGTGATTTTCAATTTAGCTAGTACTGTTGTTGCCACTCCTTTGCAGGTTCCTACTACCTATCGCGAGGCAAATAAGTTTGATGAATGGCAGCAATTAATGAATGATGAAATTGCTGCTTTATCGCACAACAATACTTGGGACTCTTGTTCCGAAACCCTCAGATGTTAATGTGTTTGTTCAAAATGGCTGTTTCGGGTAAAAGAAAAGTCGAATGGCTCTTTAGATCGCTACAAAGCCCGACTTGTTGCTCAGGGGTTCTCTCAGCACCCTGGAATTGATGTTGGTGATACATACAGTCCGGTGGTTCGCCCTACTACTATTCGTACTGTCTTATCTCTGGCTCTTTCTCGCCATTGGCCTATTCATCAGCTTGATGTCAAAAATGCGTTCTTGAATGGTCTGTTGCATGAGCCTGACTACATGAAACAACCACCTGGATTTGTCCATCATCAATATCCGGATTATGTGTGAAAGTTAAATCGTGCCCTTTATGGTTTGAAAAAGGCACCCCGTTCTTGGTTTCAACGGTTTGCCTCTTTTATTGCTTTACATGGGTTTCATTTTAGCAAATCAGTTTCTTCTATGTTTGTTTATCGCAATGGTGAGGATATGGCCGTTATTTTGCTCTATGTTGATGATATTTTACTTACTGCCTCCTCTGATTCTTTATTGGCATCCATCATCGCTAAATTACAGCGAGAATTTGCTATGACTGATTTGGGTAATCTACACTACTTTCTGGGCATCTCAGTTACTCGTACTTCTGATGGTCTCTTTTTGTCCCAGTCCAAATATATTACCAGTCTCTTGGACCGTTGTAAGCTTTCTTCTGCTAACTTGGCACACACTCCTCTTGGCAGCAAGGGCAAGTTGTCTCAAAATGATGGTACTTTATTCTCATATCCTTACGAGTATCATAGCATCGCTGGTGCTCTTCAGTATATCACTTTCACTCGTTCGGATATTGCGTATGCTGTCCAACAAGTCTGTATCTTTATGCATGCCCCTCGTGAGTCTCATTATCAAATAGTCAAATGAATTCTTTGCTATTTGAAGGGTACTCTATATTATGGTCTTTCTCTCAAGCCTACTGCCTTTGATCAATTGGTTGCTTACTCTGATGATGATTGGGCTGGTTGCCCTGACACCTGCCCCTCTACTTTAGGATACTGTGTCTACCTGGGTTCACATCTTGTCTCTTGGTCCTCTAAACGGCAGCCTATTGTTTCTCGCTCTAGTACAGAGGCTGAATATCGCACCGTTGCTAATGCGGTTGCCGAGATATGCTGGTTGCATTTCTTACTCTCTGAGTTGTCTATAAGTTTGCCTACTGCCACTATTGTGTTATGTGATAATGTTAGTGCCATTTTCATGTTAACTAACCCTGTGCGGAATCTTCGCACAAAACACGTTGAGATTGATATTCATTTTGTCCGTTAGAAAGTTGTCCAGGGCTTTATCCGTGTTTTACATGTTCCCTCCTCGTATCAATTTACTGATATCATGACTAAAGGCTTGCCTCAAGTCCTTTTTGATGATTTTTGGGACAATATGAATGTTCGCCCACCTCCTATTGTGTATGTATATATATATATATATATATATATATAGCATTGTTGTAATCTCATTATTAAGATTAGATTAGTAGCATTGTTGTAATCTCATTGTAACCCTAAACACTATATATATATATATATATATATATATATTTTTTTTTCAATACAATGGAATACATGGGTTCTTGATTTCTGCAATAGCTAATATAAAATCCCAATATGATAATTCTTCAAGCTCCTCATTTAGATCAAAATTAATCGCCAATTAAAACCACACATTCATCGATTAACATAAAAGAATACCTACAATTACTTGTCAGCTTTTGCATTTAACTTATTTGCATCAGTACCTAGTTCTTTTTCTTTTCTTAAAATTGGCCAAGCATTTTATTTTATCTTTGCAAGGATGTAACAAAATGTAAAAGAATTTTACAGCTTTAGCATTTCATCTTCTTCTCTTTTTCTTCGTGAATTCATTGAGCATTTTGTCATTTATTACTCATTTTGTATTGGACATAGGAAGGCAAATAAGGAAACGAGAGAGCCCGTTGATTTAGGAGGCCCAACCCACCAAAATGCTTCAATTGGGAGCTGTAATCCTGCGAGACTGAAAAATAACCCAAGCAGACAAGATTGAGACAGACATGATTGAATCCTATACCCGCATAAAGGAGGCCTTGATTTTATGGTACTGCTTGAGTAATTTAGTCCATTAGATTCTAAATCTATTTTCTGAATTGGAACCCATTATCTTTCGAAAAAGAAGACTGCATTTTTATTTTTTTTTTTCTTTGGGCATTATAATAATGTTACATGGAGTCAAAACTAAAACATCAATTTGGTCATGGTCATTCGTGACTTGTTACAAAAGACGTGGTCTATGGAGTTAAAGCATATATATCGGGAGCGGAATTTTGCTGCCAATTCTTTAGCATTCTTAGCAGCGTCGAGTTATGGAGGTCTATTGCATTTTCAAGAATCACCGGAGGCAACCAAGACTTAGTTACAACATGATTTAATTGGTATACCATATCAACGTTTTGTAATTTCCATTTTCTAGGCATTTTGCCTCCTTTTACAAAAAAAAAAAAAAAAACTAAAACATCAAATGGCATTTTGCCTCCTTTTACCCCTGACTCCTTCTTCTTCTTCCTATTTCCTTTTTCTCCAACTTCATCTTCTTCTTCCTTTTTTTACAAATTTTAAATCTAGATCTACCACAAATCAAAGTGTAAAAAAATATCGGAACAAGACAGACAATCATGAAAAGGTTTGCCTTGGATTTTAGTAAAAATTTTTTTCCAATAAACTTTTGAAAAAAAAAAAAAACTGGTTCTGCCCAGGGTGGCCGGCCGGCCAGCCACGCTTTGAAGATTGGCCGGTTTACTCGCCGGCCAACCGGGAAGAAGTGGCTTGCCGGCCACCCTGGGCCAATTTTTTTTTTCAATTTTTTTTTTATTTTTTTAGTAATTGTTATTATTTTTTTATATTTACTTTTGTTTTATTTTTTTGTGCTATATTTACTGATTTAATAACATGTTTAATTTAATTTAATTCATTATTTATAATTAATTTAATTTAATACTTAGTGTAGATTAAATGGAGAAATTAGGTATAATAAGTTTTTTATTATTATTATAATTTATTTATTACATCCAAATTAAGAATGTACTAGATATTATATTAAAATGATATGATAAATATTTTTTGAGTAGGTTTTTGTAATTAATTGTTATATATAACTATTCAATTATAAATTAAAATAAATTTAATTAAATTAATTATTCCTAATAACACAACATTCAACAACTATTTACATTAATTATAAATAAATTTAACTTAATTAATCAAAGAAGAATACAAAAACTAATTACATTCATTATAAATAAATTTAACTAAAGTAATTATAACAAAAAAATTTACACAAAAAAATAATAATAAAAAATTTGAAAAAAAAATTGTGGCCCAGGCGACGGCCGGCTACCTTTTGAAGATTGGCCGGTTTACTCACAGGCCAACCCGGAAGAAGTGGCTACTTGTCGGGTCGATTATTTAATAATTAGTGTAGATTAAATGAAAAAATTAGGTATAATAAGTTTTTTTTATTATTATTATAATTTATTTGTTATATTAAAGAATGCACTAGATATTATATTAAAATGATATGATAAATATATTTTGAGTAGATTTTCTGTTGTTTATTATGTTTCGCCATTTCTTTTCGAGTCCGATTTTTATTAGATCTAAAAGAAAAAAGAAGAAGAAGAAGAAGTTGAAAAAGAATGAAAGATGAAGAAAAAAAAAATAAAAAAAAAGAAGAGTTTAGGGATAAAATTATCTGAAACGAACTATCAGCGAGTGATTTCTGAATTCGAAAAACAATTCCCACATCGAATTTGTAAGCGTAAAGAAAACAATTACTATGTCGTATTCCAGTCACTTGACTTACTACTGCATTTAATGAATCCAAATAATCGACGAAAACATGCTTAGGGCTGATATTTTTGTGGTCGTGGTGTCCACCTAAATTAAGTGCAGACGACTGCGTGTCATTTTCCCATATTTTGGGTTTCATTTCAATCAATTAGTCCAGTTTCAACTGCTATGTTAAGGTACGAGTAAATATTTGCGCTACGAAACGAAAAATATCTCCACAGAAAGTATGTAAAAGAGTACTCCAGATCATATGATGTTTCAACAAAGATACGTATTAAATTGATTGTTTAATGATTGAAGTAATCCAAGTTATAATTTGTTTCTAGAACAATGTAGATGGGGTTAAGAGAATAGCTTTAAAAAACGGCCTACATATGCCAAGATTAAAATTAGAGACCATCTTTCTCTTCTAAAATAATAATTCTGTTTAGATTTTCACGTGAAGTGTAATTTAAACTAAAAATAAAAATTTAAATTATACTTTATCCGATCCTTAATATAAAGTATTTTGATTTGTCCTAATTAACTAGTACTTATTTTTAATTGACGAAAAAATCTCAAAAATATTTTATAACAACCAATAGAACACAATGAATATGAAAATATAATTTTAAAATTTTTTCGTCAATTAAAAATATGTATTAGGTGTAACCTAAGACAAAATCAAAATATTTTATATTAAAAACCGGTGGAAGTACAATTTTTTCAGAACGGAAGAAATATTACGTAAAAATGAAATACATACCTGCCCAGAAAAAAGTTAGTTTACTCCTATCACTGCTCATATACCCTCCTTTCTTTTTTCTCTTTTTTTATAATTCATATACCCTCCTTTCTAAATGCGACTAATTTGACAAATCTTACTATATATTAAGGGAATTTTTTCAAAAGACACATGTCAGTTAATTAGACCATCGATAATTTTTAAGTATACATGTCATCTTTTCATTCGTTGATAATTTTTTAAATACACGTGTCATCTTTTTATTGACTACTATATTTATTGGATTTTTAATATATGTATTTTACAAAGTAAAATGGTAAAATTTATTAAATTAACTTTCACCCCATCATCGTTTAATTCCTTAGACTAATATATTTTCACATTCGTTGTATTCTCTTGATTGTTATAAAAAAATTTTAAGAATTTTCGTCTATTAAATATGTGTACTAAGTGAAACTTAAGATAAATCAAATAATTTATATTAAGGAATGGATGGAGTATATATTAAAAAAAAATGCTGTCAAAAAAAAAATCCTGGTTTTGCCAGAAAGAATTATTAAAGGGGGAATGAACCTGTACGATAACATAGTTGTGCGAGCCAAATAAAACCGTGACAAAAATTTGTCAATTTTTATCCTATTTTGGTAGTGCCAACGTCCAGTGATTTGTCGCCGCCTTTCTGGTTTATCTTTTCATCCTCCAGTAGTCCAGACACATTTTTCCAAAGTTTCTTGTTATTTTCAAGTGTATACTAAATTTAATACTCCAAAGTATAAAGCTTTTCAGTCAATTCAATCCGAATTTAACAATAATATTATTCACAAATCTGATTATCTTGCTCATGAGCGTAAGAAAGATTGGATGGAACATGTAAGAGTTTTAAATTAAACAAGATCATTATTCAAGTGATATTCACCATTGACGTTACTGAAAAAAGAAAAGAAAAATCAAATATCGTGGAAATGAATAAAAAAGTATACAAGAAATTATAAGAAACCAGGGACAAACGTTGTGCATCAATTTGTCACTAGTCATTGAAAAACCCATAGAAAAGACCAAGTAGATAATATCAGTGTTGGATTACGTGGTGGAGACAGAATCGCTCGGTTCTCTAATCATGTACCGCCGCAAAAAATAATTTTGTTTTAAAAAACAGTGTCCTTTTGTAAATTCTAATACTAATTTTTCTTCCCAAGACGTCCACTCATTTTACATTTTAACTCATTTTACCTCTTAAACACAAAATCCAATAGAAAAAAACATCATTTAAATAACTTTCTGATTTATATTTTAAATTCTAACTTAAAACACTTTTTTTTAGTGTAGTGACTATTTTAGAACTACAAATAGTTCAGTGACAAATTTGACAGGATTCCGTTGTTGAGTGATTATTTTTGGAAAAGTTCTTTTTTGCAGTGACTATAATTGACAGTATTTAATTGTTTAGTGATGACTCGTACTTGATATTTTCAAAATGTAGTTCAAAATATTTTTTTCAAAACCAACATCCAAACAACTTTTTGCTCAAAATACCATCCAAACAACATTTTCATTTCCCATTTAGTTTTCAACTTAAACACTTTCCACTTTTAAGTGGCAAAATAAAATGTAAGATGACGTCCAAACAAGCATTGAACCATTTCGATATCTGTATATATCATTGTTGAACAAGAAGAGCTTGAAAATGTAAGCATATCTTTCAAAATGGATGGAACTAATCCAACTTAAATATGGTCTCTTTATATCTTGGAACAATATATTAACGAAATGATATTCATTTTGAAATGAAAAGCATATAAAATAAACGTTGATTTCAATTACGGATAAATGAATGTCTACTCTTCTAATGAGTAAAACACATCTTTCCAATCAAATATTGAACAGCAATCATATAGTAAAACTTAGGATTTCTCTAAATCAATCACTGCAATCCTCTCTACTTCCTTGTATTTAACACACTGTCAATGATCAAATTAACCATATCCCAAACCTAATTTGACACTAATTAAGCTACTAAATTAATTAACCTCTAAATCAGTTTTTTTTACATCATTTTCCCAGCTTCTGCAAGGAAAGCTTTCAAATTCTTCTCAGAAGATCCACCTTCTTCCATAGCTTCCCTACCCAATTCTTTCATCTTCTTCACATTCTTCCTCAACGTCATCCCATTCTCACCTCCATCCATCACCATTTCTATACATCTCACAATCTCATCACTTTTCACTATACTTCCACCGCCTTCTTCTTCATCTTGACCACTTGGCCTAACCCTAATTCCGGTCTTCCAAACATCTTCAATCAGCTTCGCATTCGTACCTTGATCCGTCCAGTAAGGAAATGCGACAACCGGAGCCCCGGAAACGATGCTTTCCAACGTCGAATTCCATCCGCAATGTGTTAAGAAACATCCCAAAGAATGATGATTTAGGACCTCAAGCTGTGAACACCATGGAACTATCATCCCTTTTTCTTCCAATTCCTCCATGCAACTCAGTTTGTCTTCTTCTTTCTCTTCTTGTCCTTCTTCTTTGGCCCGGATCACCCACAAAAACGGCCGCCCGGTTTTCAACAACCCGCTTGCTAATTCCTCCATTTGTTTCTTTGGCAGTGTAAGTAAACTACCAAATGATACGTAAATGACAGAATTTGGATCTTTTGAATCCAGCCATTCTCTGTAGTCTTTTGTTTTCTTGAATAAATCTCCTCCGAATGAAGTATCATTTGGATCCATTGGAGCTAACGGTCCAATGGGTATCATTTTGTATTTTTCAATGGCTTTCAAGGCTTTTGGCTCCAAAGCTTCAAATGTATTGACAAGAATATTGGGTTTTTCTTCATTATCCAGCATTTCAATTTGTGCTTTGAAAGTTGGAAGAGCAAAACTGTAAATTGGGTCATTTGAAGGAAGGATGAAAGAAGGAAGTTCTTTAGCTTTGAGTAATGGAAGGCCCGGGAACTGAACCGACCATGTTGGATTACTGACGTCAGCTTTCTTGATTTCTTCTTCGTAGCCATGGAAATAGTAGTAATATATGCCTAACACGGTGGCGGGTTGAATCCAAAGAAGCCCGGATGGCACGTGAAACTCACGCGCCACCGTTGAAGCCCAAGGGAGTAACAAAGTGTAGACGAGGCACGTTACCGGGCAGCCGTTCTCCGAACTTGACTGTATGGCATCCCTAAGAGCGTTTGAACCTTGTCTTGCGACTCCGGACATGTACTCCTTAGCATCTATGGTCTTCGGCCTGAATCCATCGTCGTAACCGTCTGAAAACGGCGCGAAATTCAGGCCTTTCGGACTGGCGCCGGAAGTTTTGGTCATGCGGTTGATGGCGAAAACACTAGTTGCAAAAGTGACACGGATGCCCATCTTTATAAGTCTTTGAGCAAATTGTAAGGCTGGATTAATATGGCCTTGAGCTGGAAATGTAACTATAAGAACATGGGATTGATCCATTATTTTCTAGCAAAGTAGAAAATCAAAATCTCTCTTTCACTAAATTAGAAGAATTTGAAAGGAATTTGGATGTGGAAAAATTTTGGTTTATTTAGAGACAATTAAGTGGCTGCTAAGAGTAAGATATAATGCACGGGACTAATAATTTATATTGTTGATATGGAGACCTCGGAGATAACAAAATGTTGGGTGCATTGACGTTTGAGATGACGATTTGGAATTTAATTTGGATGATGACAATTATTTTTGGTTATACTGATTTGTTTTTCCCTCCACGAAAATGATGCTCCGTGGAATGGTCCGCTGTAGCTAAATGGTCATAAATTTGGACTATTATTCCAATAATTTTTCTAAAACTATCTTTTCTCGTGTTTCTTATTAAGAGAGAGAAGAGAGATCTAATTGATTTGTGGTGTTGACAGATGTTTGTCTGGTGCTCAAATCTGAGATTTCTATGGTAACGTAAGTTCGGACATGACATGTTTTTTGATTAGTTAATGAAATTTGGGCAAGACAATATCTGGGTTGTACGCTCTCATGCATGACGATTTCTTGTTCATTTTCTAATGTCAATCCAAAACATGCACCAATACTACTGGTAGACTGGTTGGTGGTAGGCCAATTTCCTCCTCCCATATCTCAATCATTGTTTAATTCTTTGGTTCGAAGAGGTGGGATTGTAATTTCTCTTTGCTATTTTAGGTATCCGACATCCAACACTCTCTCGATTCCCTAAATCGAATTTGAGTTGGGTTTGAGATTTTTCCGCTGACTAATAATTTTAATCACTGTTACATTTCACAAAAAATTTAAAATTTGACGATTATAACTCATTCTAGAGTATACATATATATTAGTTTTGCACTTCATGCCTCCTTTATTATATTTTTTTTAAGAAAAAACATACTTTCATTAATTTGTTGTACATTGTCTAACTACGTTTGACATTACAAAAAAAAAGTCTAAAACACAACTCACAATTTCTATTAATCTTTTATTACAATCACACTGTTATGTTTGATAAATCTATACAAATCTATCCTAGTCAACGCTGGACATATTACGTACCAGATTCGACATCCAGTTAAAGATATATCACTAATTATCATATGAAAACATCAATTTATGAATCTAATAAATAGATTTATATTCATTGAATCTTCTCGAACGATGACAGCAAACCCACGAACATCACCAACGAAGTCACGAACCTTGCTATCAACAAATAAACCTATCATCAACCAGAAGATTGAGACCAATCCACCGAAGGAACTATAACGAAAAGAACCCTACCCTCTCAATAGACTATAATTTATTGAAGGAACAAAATTTCAATGAAAAAGAGAGAAATAATCCCATTTATTAAATGATGAAACTAAAACTGTGCTTATAAAACTAGAGTAAAATTATTTCCCCGTCTTCTCATTGAGAAGAGGGGGAAGATTGTTCTTTTTGGAGATCGGTTGAGAGACGGAGAGATGAGAGAGAGGAGGCGGCTAGGGTTTTTTTTTTTTTTTCATGCCTCCTTTATTAGTCATTAGTCAACGAGACAAGTGAGACTCAAATTAATGTCAATTTTGCTTTAAGCATCATGAAGCAAACACTAGTAGTGGAGAGTATTATCAAAATAAAGAAAAACATCAAACCAAGCTAATTAGCCCACGTTTTTTGACTTGTAAATTACTTGTACGTCTTGGAGCCCAAGGAAATGAAAGTTCTGCAAGTAATTCAAGCCCACAAGTTTCCACAAGAGTCACTTTCCCGGTAACGAGTCTTGTGATACCTATAAGAATGAGACCTATTAATTCGTTTAGATACTATTCCTTTTTTTTTTTTTTAATACTCAAAACTGAACCATTGTAGGAAGCTTAATTAAGGAGCAAAATAAAATACGGGCGTTAAAATGTAACACATACAACCGAATATGTAAAGCTAAGGTTGTATACATCCTTTGCCTTCATTTTCACTCTTTGCTGTTAATTTCATATGAGAATTAATATGTTTATAAATCGGGAGAGGTAGTAGAATATCTATGGTGAAAAAAATTTGAATGTGGTGGCTGAAAGAAAAAATTTAAGTACTTTCCCCACAAAAAAAAAAGAAAAATTATTTTAATACAATGAATATTAGGTTTACTGTACAAATTCAGTAAAAAAATCCTGCGTTTGCAATGGGCTCCACAAGATTAATGGAGCTAATTTTTTTGAATTTTGAATTTTTTTTATTACACTTATAATTTACTGTAGAGAAAAATAAAAAAAAATTCCAGTGATCACACGGGTGAAAGTAATCCAAAAATTATTTTTGAACTTTTGATTTTTTTGAATTTAAAGTATATTTTTAATTTATTTTATTATTATTTAATTGTTATTTTATTTCTTAATTAGAGAAAAATCACAAAACGGTCAAACTACCAAATATGCCTATGTTGGACAAAATAGTGATTTGGGAAGTAGAAGTTGTGAAATTCAAATTAAGTCTTGTTTGCTATTGTAGTGATCGACCTTTTGGGTTATTATTGTAGTACTCCTTACGTCCCATAATTATTGTCCACTTTTACTAAAATGAAAAATTTTATTTTTGGTCAAAGTTAACTATATTTTACCTTAAACAACCAGATATATCCCTACATAAGTAATTGTTTAACCACTAAGATTTTATGGATAATGTTTTTTACTAAGGACAAATGTGTAACTTGATCCATAAAAAGTCAAATTGGACAATAATTTTGAGACAAATTTTTTGGACAAAGTGGACAATAATTATTGAACGGATGGCGTATTATATTTGCACTTCAGGATTCCTTAGTTAGTCAACGAGACAAGTGAGACCCAAATCAAAGGGAGTTCTGGTTCAAGCATCATGGAACAAATTCAAGTGCGGAATATTATAATCCAACTAAAAAGAAAAAACATGTTAATTGATCAAATCCAAAGTTAACTAGCCCACGTTTTTTGACTTTTACATAGAGTTACTAGCAAGTCTTGGCGTCCACGAAAAATTGGAAATCAGATACCATGATTCTTAAGGATTATGATTCTTAAACAAATGATAAAAAAGTTCTGCAAGTAATTCATGTTTACGATTTTTTAAAGTGTCACTCTTCCGGTAAGGATCTTTTGTGATAGTATATACTCTTACCGTCGCATAATTATTGTCCAGTTTAGCTGAGATGAAAGAATTTATCTTTACTCAAATCTAACTATATTTTTACTTAAACTTCCAGATATACCCTTATATACACTCTCATCAACCTGATGCCCCAAATGTCTCCTCCCCTGTGTTTTCAGACTTCACTGTGTGTGTGTGCGTGTTTTCATTTTTGGGTGTCCCCTCATTATTCATCATTTCTTGTTTGTCACCACGCCTATGAGAAGAGGCCACCGGCGAGGGGAGGAGTAAGACTTTGGTGGTGGGTTACACAACTTTCCACAAGAAAGTGGACAGTTTCATCACCACTTCGCTCCTAAACCACGCCCAAACTCACGGCGGTGTCCGTCTCATCCCATCGACCTCTCCTTCTCATTACTCAACCAAGGTCGTCCTAAATCCACCATTTCCCCCAAATTTATTCCTTCTCGAATTCTGCCTCATATCATCGACCACCGGTAGCCCCAATTTCCCACCCCTCCAAGGTCTCATCTTCCGTCTCTTATTATTATCCTCCATCCCGGCCGCCACCACCACCGTAACAACCAACCTTAATCGATGTCAACTCACCGAATTTCGATGAAGTCAGCCGTCGGACATCTGAATGGGGACAAATGGCTGGATGAAGCGGTTCTAATGAATGACTAAAGGGCATATGTGTAATTTAATTCATAAAAAGTCAAATCAGACAATAATTTTAAGACAAATTTTTTTTGACAAACTGGACAATAATTATGAGATGGAGGGAGTATATTTAACGATTCGTAACAATATTACGTAAGAATGAGACGTATAATTTTAAATAAGCACTATATCATTTTTTCAATGCACAAAACTGAAACATTGAAGGAATCTTAAGGAGCAAAATAAATACACTGTCAAAATGTAACAAATATTACTGAATATGTAAAACACTCGTTACAATCTTTGCCTTCATTTTTCACTCTTTGTTGCCTATGTTTATTGTTAGAGTTTAGATCTATGATGATGTAATTCTAGTATGTAAGTTTGACCTTTAATTAATTTGTTCTCTGAATCCTAATAGTTGCACCCTTTCAAGTTTGATTGGAATAATTTGCATAAAGAACTAAATTTTCCAATATTGTGATGATTAACCATTTCCACGTACAGGGAGACTGAGATAATTTATACTAAGGAAACTTAACCTAGTTAAATTTTGGAGATTTAGTTTTATAAGATATGATTATAAAGTAATGAAGCTAAGACTTTTATTAAAAAAAATTCAATGTACGTAACTCCTTATGTTGTTGGATGGATTGATACATGCATAGTTAGAATCATCAGTGCAAAAATTCTTTTGTTTAAAAGAAAATGCAAAGCAAGACAAGTGTAGAAGAGAGGAATGGTTGTGAGATTGTTGGATGTGTTCTTTTTATTTTACTTTAGCCTCTATAAATAGGTTTCGCAATGCATTACAAAAGTTACGTCTAATCTATTACAATACATACTTCATAACTCACATAGATTAGATATAGGTATTAATGAATAGATAAGGTAGTAAAGATGTAAAAGACATCCACAGTTAAATATAGTTCATAACACTCCCCTTTGGATGTCTATTTACAGAATAATGCCTTGTTAAAATCTTTACTAGAAAAAAACCTGTTGGGAAAAAAATCCTAGTGAAGGAAAAAGAGTACACCATCCAAATGTGACACTGCCTCGTTAAAAACCTTGCCAGGAAAAGCCCAATGGGATAAAAACCTTGGTCAAGGAAAAAAAGAGTACAATGTGTAAATTACTCCCCTGTTGAGCATCACTTGACAGGTTTGAGTCGTCGCATTCCAATCTTGTAGACTAACTTTTCAAAAGTTGAAATTGGTAATGATTTAGTGAATAAGTCTGCCAGATTGTCGCTTGAGCGAATTTGTTGAACAATGATTTCACCACTCTTTTGAAGATCACGAGTATAGAAGAATTTCGGAGAGCCGCCTTTGATGTATCCTTCTTTTAATTGATCAATGCACGCAATATCGTCTTCAAACAAGATAGTAGGGACATTCTTGTCCAAATACAAACCATATGATTCTCGAATGGGATGAACAATCGATCTTAACCAGACACATTCCCGATTTGCTTCATGAATTGCTAAAATCTCAGCATGATTGGAAAAATTAACAGTTAGGGTTTGTTTCATAGAACGCCATGAAATAGCCGTTCCTCCACATGCAAAAAGATATCCTGTTTGCGACCAACCATTATGAGGATCAGACAAATATCCAGCATCGGCATAACCGATTAGATCGAACTTGGA